GATTATCTAATTCTATTTTGGCAAAATCTGATATGTTTTCGGTAAAATAATAAAATTATTATTTTAAATTTTATAAAAAATTTATCAGAAACGAAGGAGAGTACCTAAAAGCCTTGACTTTTTCATAAAAATATTGAATGAAGGTACAAAATTATTACCAAGTTGGTTTTTCATTGACTCGTTTTTAATTATTGAAATGACGAAAACAATGCCTGTACTTGGTCAACTCTCATTTGAAGATAAGGTTTATAAGTGGAATAAATTTATCTCAGTTTTGTATATCCTTGGGGCGAAAAATTCTTATTAATGGCTAAGTTGGATTACAGAGTAATAAGGGTCGGATTTTTGGTGTTTACCATTTGTTTCGCTAGAACCGGACACAACCAATATTTACATTAAAATATAAAATTGAATCCTAATATAATGTCATTAAATGGAGAATACTATATCTTCTGGACATTTGGATTTAGAAAATTATTTTAAATTGAAGAGAGTCTAATTTTGGGTGTATGAAAAACTGAAGCTGATTGTATTATTAAGATAAACAAAAAAATTCAGATTCATCTTTACTCTCGAAATGGATTGACAGCAATTGTTTTTAGTATGCTCTTTTACAGTAAAAACCTCCAAGGAAGCGATGTATTAATATCTCCTGCTGGAATGAGTCCTATATTAATTAAACATAACGAAACTACTAATCTTCTATTTTATAAGCATTTAATCAAAATAGCAGAATTTAATTTGAGCAGAGAGGAATTTTTGATTCTTAGAGTTTTAATCTTACTTCACACAGGTTCTTCTAAAAATATGTATGTTGTGATGATATAGAGACGACCAAAATTCATACCCTGCTCGTACCTGTTTACGAAGAACGAGTATTAAATTTTTGCAGGAAAGAAATGTTTATAAAATCCACCCAGTTTTCCATTTGTTAATGTGTGGTGATGCTTATAGTTGATTCATGTTATCAGTTTAAAAGCTCACTTCACTACAATAACACCCGAATTAAAAAACATATTCTCGAGGTCCTGCTATATTCATCCCTATCATAACAGAAAAACATTTACCTAATGTTTATTATTTAGCTACAACAGAATTGTCAAAGATCGGAATTGAAATAATACATAATGAAATTGAAAAGCTTTCCAAAACTTTAATGTTTTACGAACAACACAAATTGGGGGATGCAAAAGGGGCAGAGAGATTTGCTAACTTGGTAAATAATTAATTAAGCAAAATTCTAGTTATAAATCGACCCTATTCGAAAAAGAGGGAACACGGACGAACACGGACGAGCATGGACGAACACGGACGAGCACGGACGAACACGGACGAGCACGGACAAACACGATCGAACACGGACGAGCACGGACGAACACGGACGAGCACGGACGAACACGGACGAACACGGACGAGCACGATCGAACACGGACGAGCACGGACGAACACGGACGAGCACGGACGAACACGGACGAGCACGGACGAACACGGACGAGCACGGTCGAACACGGACGAACACGGACGAGCACGGACGAACACGGACGAGCACGGACGAACACGGACGAACACGGACGAGCACGGACAACACGGACGAGCACGGACGAACACGGACGGGCACGGACGAATGTCTGAGTTCAATTTTACTTTTAAAACGGCATTATCTTTTTAATTATTTATTTTTCCCTTTTATCTATTTAGATGATAATTGTAAGAACGATCTTCCACATTGGCAAAGAACATAAAAATTTCACAAAATATGATATGAGTGAAAGAAAGATTATTTTAAATAAAAATATTTTCCCTAAATTTATGAATAACATAATATTTGAAAACTGTGAAGATTAAAATTTAAATACATGCTAAAAAATGATTATTTAATTTGTTTTTAAAGAATTAATTTATCAAATTAGTGTTTGTAAAAGGTAATACAATTGAACATTTAAATAATGTGAATCAAATAAATGTGAATTAGAGTTGCGCCCCGATCCCGTACCCAGACCCCCGTTCCCGAAAGATTTTTTCAGATTTTCCACTACCCGACCTCGCCCCGAAAAAAGTGAAATTTGATTACGGATCCCGGAACTGGACCGGAACTAAAAACGCCGGAACTTTCCTAAACCGGAACCAGAACTTCAGGTGAAACTCTACCAGATATACACTTTAAATCCATCAAAACCATTTAATCCCACTTTATTCTCATAAATTTTTGAATAAATTAAAGAAAATAGACCAAAAACGGCTTATTTTTAGAGCATTATTTCTTTAAAAAAATTTTCCATTAAACCTCCCTGCCCTAACCATATTTTGCTCCCTCCCCCGACCCGAACCCCGGCCCGAAACAATTCGAAAACCTAATGTGAATGAAAATTACATTCTCGATTTGCTACTTTTAAACAAAGGTTGTCGTATTTTTGGATATAAAGGATTCTCTTTAGATTAAAAAAAAGGTACTTAAATGATCTATTCTGAAAATTACTTTAGTACTAGATTATTTCAATAACGACAACCTATACCAATAAATGAGGAATTTAAAAATAAATAAAATTAAAAATAATACCAAATAAATAAATTTAAAAAGGGATGGTTACGGTTAAAAGGTTTAGTATCCGTCATTAAACTAACTTTTTCCCCAAATTTTTTTACCGTTTGGAAAAAATTTTTCCAAATACTACTAGTAATAATTACATTCTTTTTTATACTCTTTCTTCTCTTCTCAACGTCCCAATTCTTCAATTTCTCCTTTGAATTCAACAAAAGTTGTTTCCTTTATAGCACCTACAATTTCTCCCTCGAATTTACTAACTTCTCCAGATACTTCAAAAGTTGCTTTCTCAAAAGAATCTTTGTTTTCCTCATCTTTTTTGTGTTGATAACCATTAGTAACAACATTCATTTCCTCAAAACGTTCAAAACGTAAATGTTTTGTATCGATAGAACAAAAAGAATGCCAAGATTGTAATTCGTGTTCCAAAAATAATTCACAATCATTTTTCAGATTTACTTCCTCCACGTTTATACACACATTTTCTAATTCTTCTTTAATTTGTTTTTGTATATTCTCGTATTGTCTAAAGAGTGATAAAAGTTTAATTATGTAATTATTAAAAATAAAATTAAATATATTAAGCGAAATACACTAACTAATACGAAAGTGATGTGTAGTTATGGCGACTTATTAGAAGGAATCCACTATATATTAAATAAAATTTAATTAATTAATTTACCCAATATCAATACGTCTTTGCCCCAAAATTTCATTCAATTCCCATCCATATTCCTGTCCAACACCATTACTCAAAAAATCAGAAAATTTCACAGTTCCATCTTTATTGAATGAATTTTCAATTCTTTTAGTTAAACAATATTTAACAAAAAGGGGACCAGAATCTTTAAAATAATTTTTAATTCCGTCACTTTCAGGTAATATTTGTTTATAAAAAATATTTTCCGGTTCTTCAACAATTTCTTTCGTTTGTATTTCTTTGCTAGAAATATTTTTATTTTTTTCAGCATTTTGTATTTTGGTGGAAAAAAACAATTTTTTCCAATTTTTCACCAAAAATTCATATTTATTTTTTAAACGTTCATCAAAATCTTCAATATTTTCTCCATTCACTAAATTATTCATTTTTTCAATAATTTCATCTCGACGTCCCTCTTCTTCAAATTTTTTCTCAATACTTTTCAATTCTCCAAAATACTCCATTAATTGATTTTTATTTTCAATTTGGCCAATAATTTTTTTGAATTCTTTAAATAATTTGTTTAAATTATTTTCTAAATTTTTTAATTCTTTAGCAGTTACAACATTCTTCTCTTTAACAAATAATTCTCTAATTTTTTTATATAATTTTTCAATTTCTTTATCCACTTTTTCGACATTTAATTTGCACTCCTTTTCCAATTTTTCAGAAATTATCTTTTTAATCTCCTCCATTTTCAATTTATTTTTTACAAATATTTTCAAAAGTATAACATAATTTAAACATTTTTGCCATTCTGTTTTTAATTTAATATTTCCTTCAAATTGTTGGAAGAATTGAGAATTGACACTCTTTAAATTAGTTAATTGTTTATTTAAAACATTTAAAGCTTTCTCGTCTTCGTCCTCTTCATTTTTAATTTCTTCCATAACTTCTTCATTTTCTTTTTTAGTTCCTTTTTGAATTTTGAAGATTTTTCGTATCTAAATTTGTTTGAAATAAATAATTTTTAAAAATTTTACTGCGTAAAGAATTTTCTAAATATTATGGTCGGACGGGGTCGCTATAGTATAGGTCCACCGAGATCGGAACTCATAGTATATACCATTCGATTCGTCTCGCCGAGCTGAGTTCAAATATGCAAGAATTTTCTGCGGGACGCGAAAACTCGCAGAGATACAGGCCCTCGAAAATCGAAAAACCATAGGGGGGAGTAAGCTCAATTTAGGGGTAAAAAATTCGAATATGAAAATTATCTCATTCGAAAGAGCTCGTCGAGCTGAGTCGAATGACACCAAAATCAACGAAATCCGACCTTATATAGCCGAGTTACAGACCCCCAAAATTTGGTAATTTCTGGGGTCAAAAAATTCGAACATGCAAATGACCCCTCATTCGAAAGGGCTCGACGAGCTGAGTTGAATGACACCAAAATCAGCTCGATTGGATCAATGTGAACAAAGTTATGACCAATAGAATCTTCGCTGGAAAAACTGTTTTTGTGCTGCTACGGAGGGTAGGCCGGGCATGGTCTTCGCTACACGATGGCCGTGCTTCGCTGCGGTCGTGCTCGCTGCGCTCGCGGCGACCGTAGCGAAGCTGCGGCCGTCGTTCCGCTCGACATGCCCGGCTTCCTCCGCAGCGGCAAAAACTTTTTTCCGCGGAGGCCTTATGGGAGGGCTGCTTTTTAATAAATAAATAAAGTATTTTTTACCTTCTTCTCTGTCCAAGTCTACAAGGTTTACTACATACTGACCTGAACAAAAATAATTTTTAAGAAATAATTTTAATTATTTTTCAGACAAACTCAGGCATTTTTGAAGTTTTATCATAAAACATTAATTCTCTATTTTTCATTTTTAATTTATGTGCAACAGAACTTTTAAAGCCAGCACCCATTTCTTCTTTAAAAGTTCCAGCAACTCCTAGAAATTAGATTTTGTTTTAATTTTTAAAATACGTTTATATTTTACCTTTTTTCCAATCTCCGGCCTTTCGAAAACCATCATAACCAACATAGTTGAGAATATCATACCTTAAACAAAAAGAATTTTTTTGATGTAAGATGGAAAATATGAGTGAAATATTATATGAATTACAAAAACAGGTAAATGGGAGGGCCGTGACACGATATTATGGAGTTACAATAGATATGTATGTATCAAGCATAAAGTGGCCTAATCTTTACTTATTGTCATGATCTGTGTGCCCAAAAACTATTCAACATGAATGCAAAATATGTGAATGCCATTCATTATCCACCCAAATTTCTAATAAAATTACAAACCAAGCAGGCGGATCTCCACTCTCATCAAACGATATTTCTTGTTGAAATTCATCTTCAAAACTAACATTCATCATATATCTTTATTTTAAATTAAAAATATTTTTATTAAATTAAATACCTAAATAACAAAGTTCCATTAATTGTTTCCATTTCTGGACAAGGTAAACCAAAATGAGCATTAAATAAAGCAGCATTAGATGAGGGAAAGGAAATGTTTATATTTGTTTTTAATTTATTTTGTTTTAAAATTGTTGATTGACATTTATCGTTATACATATCTCGCAAAGCATATCTTCAATATTTTAAAAATTTTGAAGGAGAATTTGCAAGAAAATTATTTTTGAACTTACCCAACTACTCGGATAGCATTCATAACCTGAAAAATTAAGAATAATTTTAAAATTGTTGATTTGTATTTTAAATTTAATAAAATGATTCGATCACTAAATTAAATTATTATTTAACAAAGGTATTTTGAATTTCCTTCTACACATATTTACTCTATATGATGTTTTTTATTTTATTTTACTTTTTAAATGATAGTTTCACTATTTTTTCGGTTTTAGAGAAGTTGAGATTTGTTTTAGTATTTTTGGATGTCGGTAAAATGTACTGACAAATTATATATCTTTTTTATTTAATTAACTTAACACAATTGTTAAATAAAATTTAAATTTTGTGGAATAATCTAAAATTATTCTTTACCTGACTAAGTTTTGGATCCTGCTCATATCCAACAGATAAATTCTGAGAACTAACATCACAAAGTTCAGAGAAAGTATCATCTTTAGGAACGGTTAAAAGACATTTAAATTTTTGTTGCCAAAATTCTCTAAACCAGGGATTTTTTACACTTTGATTGGCCGGTTCTAATGAATAATAATATGGCTCAAATTTTTCCACTCGAGGGGAGTGAATACGGAAAGAAAAGCTTCCGGCAGCCTCAGTTTCAACGCCTTCAACTACATCTAGTCTGTAATAAAAATTTGGAAATAAAAATTGAATTTATTAATTTATACCTATCCGCCCATCCATCACTTCCAATCCATTGAAAAGCCTCAATGCGTTTTATCCCTTTATCAAATGTTGTATTGTTATAATTAGTTATGGAAGAGCGTTTGCCCATTCTTAATGCTTTTTGAGCTTGGAATAATTTATTTAAGCTTCTTCCCTCACAAAAACAAACAACCTTTAGTTAAATAATGTTATTTTTTATAATAATTTTTTGGCAATTCCTAACCACTTTAGGACGAGGATTTAATTCATTTAATACAAGAAGTACATTCTCAAATTCTTCATTCTCTCCCATAGTTTTTACTTTTTGTGCATGTGCTATACAAACATCAATACCCGGGGCGTGTGTAAGGCGCTCCATTGCTTCAAATCCCTTCTCGCCATAATTTCCTACAAACAAAATATTCTTAATTTATTTATTCTCTAAATTACCAGCACTATAAACAACAGCAATATAAGTCCACCCGAAATGCATTAAAAGTTGGCTGATAGCCATAGCTTGCCAGGCGTCGGAAGGCACAACTCTATGAGGTTCTTATTATTTATGATAAGATAGTTCGATTTTCTAGCGAATATCGAAATAAAAATTTATTTATCTGTAACATGCTTTGTCTCGAAATAATACCTAAGATAATATCCAAACTGTTCTTTATCACTTAAATCTGTAGTGGTCGCTGCATATCCAATCTGAGGTATTCGAAAGACTTGAAGAAGATTTTGTACAGCTATGGTAGTTGAAGACTTTGCTGGGCCCACAATAGCAACAACAGGGTTTGCCTTCTTTTGACACCCAGCTGTTTGGCAACAAGAACATTGAGTAACACCCTCTCTCAAAAATGCTATTGTCTTTTTATTTGATTAAATAATTATTTTAAAAAATATTTTTTAAATAAAACTTGTTCCATAGCTATTCTTTCTGTCCAGCAAGAGTCTCGAATACTTATTCCAAGTCGGAATGGAAGTATTTTATTTAATTCTTGAATTGTAAGGATTGCTACTTCAGCACGTTGAATTCCTTTATAATTAAAAAATATTTATGTAAATTGCTAAATAACCATATTGTTCCCAAATAGCCCCACACCCCTCAGCACCAGCTATTTGACGATGCATTGGGAAAAGAGCACCAATCTTTTAAAATTTAAATATTTTTCTTATTAAATTTTAAATTAATTTTATTTATACATATTAATATAATTTTAAAAGTTTAAAATTCTCTACTTGAATATCACCCGGAATTTCGGCAACAAGCATTCTTGCAGATTGCTGAACAGATGTTTTAGTAACAACATCCATAACTCTTAGCATTAATAAAGTAACATGACTATATAGCATTTTTAGCTATTTTCTACTGAAATATTTTTGTTAAAATTTTTCCGTTTACATAAAATTAATTCGAATTTATCGTAAAATACTTTATTTATTTTCTAACATTTCAACACTCAATGTAGAGAACATGCAAAAAACTTTTAAAAAATAGCCAACGGTCTGTCACTATTTACATAAAAAATAATAATAATATGATTGAATGAGAGGAAAATGCCACTTTTGCCTTCCCCTCCTTTTTCCATTAAAAATAAAAAAAATAATTTTATCTCTTCAATGATGGACCTCTCCCAACTTTTCGGCCATTTCCTAACATTTTTTTACTTTTATGTCCTTTGCTTAAATATAAATTGAATTATTATGTTCTCCAAAAAATCTTTTAAGAATATTTGATGACAGAGAGTAATATTGACATAAAAAACTACTAATTTTTAGATTATAATGGATGTTTTTGTGGACATTAATTAAAAGATTTTTTTAGTTTGAGTCCGATTTGTTATATAATTTTATCATCGGATAGCCTCAATCGAAATATATTAAAATTAGAATTTACAACAAAATAACCTTTAAAGACATGAAATTAATTTCAGTGATAATATTTAAATTGAAATAATTTCTGAAAGGAAAATAAATAAAAATACAAATCAAAAATTAATTAAAAATTAAAAAAAAATAATAATCAAATTATAATAAAGTTAAATTAAAATATTGGGTTAAATAATTATTTAATGATTATGTGTGAAAGTAAAGGAATAATTGATAGTTTTATTAATTTTTTTAAATAAATCAATTTTTTGCAATAATCTTGAAGTTAAAATAAATATATTTTAGGTAAATTGTTAAATTGTTTTTTTTCAATAATTCTCTGTTGGAAATATTTTTTGAGAGTTTAAAAAAAGAAAATAAAAAATTATAAACAAAAACTGATTCAAAACAAAAGAATTTTTATTTAAAAAAAAAGTCAAAATAAATTTATATAAAATTCTTAATTAATTGTGATAGATTTTTATTAATTTTTGTTAAATTAGACTAACAGGAACAATTTTTCATAAAAAAATAATCTTAATATTTAAGTAACTTAGAAAGGAAATAAATACATTTTTTATTGATAAAAAATGTAAAAATATTTTTATTTTGAAAATAAGTCTGTTTATTTTTTAAAAAAGAACGAACTGAGGAAATCCTAAATTTGCGTAATCCAATTTTTAAATAAAAGAAAGATTTAAAGTAATTTATAAAATAAAAAGAAAAATAAATTTGAATGGATGTTCTAAATAAAGTAATGAAGCTTTTTAACTTTTAAGTTTTTTTTAATTTTAATCTACAAAATTGAACAGGGAAAAATAATTTTTAAATTAATTTTCTATTTATTTTAGATTTATTGTTTAAGAAATTTTTTAAATTTAATTTACATTGATAATTAAATTATATCTTTGATTCTCTTAATTGGTGAAATAAAAATTTTGGCTCTACTCCAGTTTATGCGTCCAATGAAAGTTTATGCGTCCAATAAAAAGAAAATTGGATTTTTCTTGGTATTGCACAGTTGGGGTATGGCTCCAAACCATTTCTTCATGTTCGGGACCTACGTCCACTGGGTTTGGGACCATTCCTTACCCTATACCTCGAAATTTTTTAAAGTTACAGCCAATTTTTTAAAATTTCAGAAAAACGATTATAACTTTCAGAAATTTCGAAGTATAGGGTAAGGAATGGTCCCAAACCCAGTGGGCGTAGGACCCGAACATGAAGAAATGGTTTGGGGCATACCTCAACTGTGCAATACTAAGAAAAATCCAATTTTTTTTATTGGACGCATAAACTTTCATTGGACGCATAAAAGTCGATTGGACGCATAAACTGGAGTAGAGCCAAAATTTTTTATTTATGTTCAGAAAAATAGACCCAAGATTTTTTATTTCCGACTTAAGATATCTGAAGCAGAGGTGAGCGTGTGACAAATTTGAAGCGATAAAATAAGGCCAAATATCAACGCAGGATGTAAAATATAAGTCATTTTAATTGAAAGCGTTCGAACCTCATTCTTATTTTGCATTAAAGTAGGTGCGTTAACTAAGCCATACTCCTCCACGGAAAGGCAAGTAACCTGTTTAAGATGCTGTACCCCTCATTCGAGTCCTTTTCGAATTTTTAAAGTTTAAAATAAATTTTAAACAAATTTATTTACAAAATTTTTAAAAATTTGAGGTGAATATTAATACAAAACATTTAATTAAAAAAATATTTTTGAGGCATTAAAAATACAAAAATTAATTCATTAAATTCCTCTTGTATTTAAGCAATTCCAAATTAGAAAATCTACAAAATTGGAGTTGACAGCAAGTTCTTCCAGGCAAAAACCCTTCCAAAGATGGCAATTTTGGAGTATTCGAATCTTTATTTTTATTTAATTCTCTTCTTTCAGATTTTTCTTTATTTTGTTTTGAATTATTTGGACTAATATTATTCCCTGATTTTCTTCCTTTTAATAATTCTTTACTTCCCCAATCCATTGCAAAACAAGTTTTTTCTACTCTTATTCTTAATGTTCCACCTAAAATTAAATTTAAATTTTTCTAAAGAAATTAAATCCAAAATTATTAAAAAATAAAAAAATAAAATGACGTTTATTTATTTACTAAATAAATTTATTTGTTTATTAAATTTAACTGTAAAGGCTGTTTTTATTTGTCAAAACAAGTCAATAAAATAAAAATATTTAATAAAAAAATTAAATCTAATTTTAGAACAAAATTTTTTAATTTAAATTAAAAGCACCTTTTCCAAAGTCAACAAAATCAGAATCAAAACTGTTACTTCTTTTTCTGTTAAATTTATCATCTTCATTATTTATATTATTCGAACTTTTGGCTATAGTAAAAGTTTTATTTAAAGGACGATTATCTAATACATCAGTCAATTTTTTTGTTAAAATTTTGTGTTTTCCTTCTGTTTTGGGAAGTATCATTTTTTGTTGTTTTTGTTGTTTTAAATTTCTTAAAAAATTTATTTTTAAAAAAATATTTGTTTTAATTATTTTGAAATAATTCATAAAATAGTAATTCCTTCCAACACCAAAATTACGTGATTATGTAATTCCGCAAAATCCCGTAAATTAAAAAAGCGCTGGATTGCGGTCAGGAATCCCGCAAGATATTAAAGTAAATTTCGAAATAATAGATCTGGGCCAAGTTAACATGGACTTAAATGTTAATAAATATTTGGAGACCTCTAAATATTCGGATTCAATATGAACAGAAAATTTCCGGAGATCCAGACTTTTCTGGATCTGAATGACTAAAAATGCTTAACCCCAACTATAAAATAATGCAAATATTTTTTTATTTTCTTTTATTTTGTTTATCTATTTATTTTTAAAAGCTATTAATTTTTATTTGAATGGTAAAGGAAATAATTTTATTATTCTTATTTGTTTACGGGAAAGTTTTCCAAATATAGAATATAGAAACAAAGAAATATTAAATATTAATTTATTAAAGCTTTTACCAGCTAAATGTTATGTATGCAGAAAAATTTAATATTTAAAAAATAATTTAAGAAAAGGTTGCAAAATATTTTGAGATAAAAATAAAATTAATTTTGACGTTGAGAATTTAATAATTTTTATTTTTAGTTTCGAATTTAACAAAAAAGATATATATAAAAATAATTATTTTATTTTTGGAAATTATTTTATTTTTGGAATATTTTATAGAAATTAATTTAATTTTAGTTAAAAAAATATCAGAATTACAGTAATTTCAGGCATTTTATTCCAAAAAATTAAATTAAAATTTTTATATATTCTTTGCAAAATTTTAATTTTTAAATTGAAAAAAAATATACTTTTGAGGTTTTTGCGGTTCAAATGTTGAAGTTGTTAAATTTTGTCCAGGTATAATTTTAAGTGGAATAAGAGAAGCTAAATTATTATTATTACTTCCTTTTGGTGCCATTTATTTTTTTGAATATTTAATGAGAATATATTTAAGTAAAGACAAAAAATATTTTGTTTAAAAGTGAAAAGCTGTTAAAAAAATACACACGCACAAATACAATATTTTCTGTTTTTTGCAGCTGTCTATGTAATTTATTCTCAAGTAGGTAGTTGTTAAGGGCAAATGAGTGGGAGTACTAAAAGAATAAAAGAAAATATATAAATTAATTTTGTGTTCTGATTTTTGTTAACTTTTTAGAAAAATAACTATAATTGACGAAATTAACTTTTATTATTAGTTTTAGTTAGTAGACACTTTCTGGTTGAAATTTAAGGAGTACAGTGCTGGATAGTTATAGGAAAGTTGTTGTGATAGAGGGGATATTCAAATAATATAAATTCAATAGAAACTAGATCGACCAGTAACTATTACAGCCTTCCTGAAGCTAAACAAAAGATTTTATTTGAAGGATACAACAAGTCCTCAATTTATAATCCGTATGGATCTGTCCGCAATTATAATTCGCCTTTTAACTTTAAAACCAAGAACATAAATGATAATATTTTGTGAGAGAGAAATATGTAGGTAGATTAAAAAAGATTTTGTGCCTTAAGGTGTTTTTAGCCTTAAAGACGTGAGGCCGTTCTGTTCCTCTTTCTTTGGCCTTTCCTCAAAAGGCTTCTATAATAATAACCTATTCAAACGTCAGCTCTGACTTTTGTGCGACTCTCAAAAGAAATTTAGGAGCCATGGAAACCTTGTTGCGTGAACAATTAAAAAAATAAAATTTATAATACATAACTATGAATTTAAAAGATAGAATATCAGAAAATAATAAATAAAGAATAAAATAAAACCTTTAATTCAAATAAAATGTTATTTGTTGGAAAAAGCAAAAACTAAATAGCATACATATGTGTGAAACTACATCGTTTAACTATGTAAGGTTGGCTTGAAAATTGGGGCCAAGTTCAGAAAAGATTTGTCTAGAACAGAAAAATCATTTTTTGAAATAATAGTTGATTCCTAAATATAAGGACATAAAAATATTAAATTTACAAGGCAACGGAAGAGATATTAATAAAAAGAATTATTTTGAAAAATAATATTGAAAAGACATTTTTATTTTAAGAGAATCACATCTTTTAAAAAAATTATAATAATTAGAAATTTAAATCTTAACTCTATAAATAGAGTCTATACATATATGAATACAAATATAATTTATTTATATTGTTTCAATATAAATCTAAAATTAAAAATATTAATTTAAAATTTTAAATTTTTATTTCGTCTTTTAACTTAAAATAATTTAAAATTATAAAATGCTAATTAGTTAGATTTTATTTAAAAAAACATTTTAATTGATAGATTTAAAGCAAGTTATTTATAAAAAGTTTTATAAAAACAAAGTTATTTTAAAAAGAATTTCGAAAATTTAGAATTTAAATAAAATTGTAAAAATAACTGAGATTTGACAAATAAAATCCTAAAAATATCGAATGAAGGATTTTAGCATAATATTGGAAATTATAACTAAAACCCCATTTCAAAATTTTCATATGAGCCTATAATGCATAAAAAATTTTTTAATAAATGTAATTTAAATTATTCCAATTAAAAATATAATCAAGGTACATAGGACCTATCATAGACAAAGTTAAAAGAATATTGAATTAAAATTTTGGTAAATTATCACTATACTTTTTGATTTTGTGGATAAATAATTATAAAATTATTTTTTTTGTTTTGTTTTCAAGTTCTAAATAAAAGTCTTCAAAATATTATTTTAAATATCTCTAGAAACTAATTTATCGTCTTTTTTGTAAATTGTACTTTAAATTTAAACGTGGAAGTATTTTTATATGTTTTTATGTTTTTTCTGTTTTTGTATCCCGCCGAGTCTTATTGAAGCAAAAATTGTTTTTAATTCCCTAAAGGGAATTAAATAGCCTTCCATTCTAAAAACTTTTTTAAACAAACTTATCCCAATTGAAGAAAACAAGAGTTTATATAAAGAAGAATATTTATTTTATTTTAAAAGAAAATAAAACACCAAAAAATTTATTTAAATATTTTGTTAAAATAATTAATTTAAAAAAAATTTAAAATTTATTTCTGTTTAATTATTCGAAGATGACAGTATTTTTCAATTTTTATGTATACCTAAAAAAGGTACATATCGGTTATACGCCCACAAACTGACTACCATCCGAAATTGACTGGCTATAACTTTATTGAGCTTGATACAATTAAAATAAATCATTCGAAAGCCTTAGAAAAGCGGTATCTTTTTTCTATAAAATAGATCATGTCTGATCACTCGTTTAAAAGTAATAACACTATAAGTCCAGTTATCTGGTGTGTTCACATTTATCGGATTATAACTTTTTAACGAGTAATCAGACTTGATCCATTAAGCTGGAAAAAGATTTCTCATATCGAGGGCTTTCGAATAATATAAGGTTATTTGAATTGAATCAAGCATCAAAAAGTTAAAGCCGATCAAATAAGGCTGGCATTCAGTTTGTGGGTGTATAACCGATAAGTGCCCTAAAAAATTTGAGATTTGTTAAGCCTCGATTTTTAAATTAGATAAAAGAAATAACCATTAAAATATTTTTTGTAATAGTTAAATAATATATTTAGGTAAATGTTTATTAATTCTATTATTTCATTAAATTTAATTTCTTTCGTAAAAAATTACTTTATTCTTGCAAATGGAACTTATACTCTTCACCCAATTGAAATAAAACCTGACACGCATCCACAACAACTTTTTAGCACAATAAATAGAATTGCTATCTGCAAGGTGTTCTTTAAACAAAAATTTAATTAAAATTAAATATTTTTAGCAACCTCTAAATTATGGAAATTGCTCTAGAAAATTACCTAGGTTTTATTGGGATGTGGAAAGTGGACAATGTCTAAAGTTCTTTTACACGTAATTAATGCTTAATAGCTTAATATTCCCTAAAAGTGGGCTGGCTGCTCTTTAAGTATTAATTAATAATCGGTTCTCTTTGAAAGAGGAGTACGTTTAGTAAAAAAATTTTTTAATTAAAAAATTTTAAGTAAAGTTCCGTGAAGCCTAAAAATTAATTTTTTTGAGAGTTACACCATTCTTTTAAGCTATTCTTTTATAAAATTAAAAAGAAATTTTTTAACAACTAAAAAATATTTATTTATAGTGGTTGTGGAGGAAATCGAAATCGTTTTCTTAATAAACGCAAATGTCGAAAACGTTGTTCAGCTAAACATAAACACCGAAAAACTAAAATAATTGCAAAACTTTCTATTCAAAATCGTTAAGAATTTAATTTTGGAATAAAATAATTAATAAATTTTAAGGTAAAAATACAAATAATAATTATGAAATATTTAACGAATTATTTGAATGTAAACCTGGATATGCCGGTAGCGGCTTAAACTGTACTAAAGATCAAAGTATTTCTTATTTTAATTAAAATCAAATTTTATTTTAAAATATGTAAAATTTGAGAATAAAATACTTTTCCCGATTTATGCTTTTTAAGAATTGAGATCCGAAAAATAAATAATACTCAATGGAAATAGAGACAGAAATAAGGAAATTTCCAATCTCAGTCTGAATTGGCAATTCGAGAGAGTTTACTATAGCGAGGGATATGATTTTAACTACAATTTATTGAAATAAACTTTCAGTAAACGCAAATTCTTAAAAGATTATAAAATAAAATTTCTTCCTCCAAATTTCTAGAAATTTGTGCACAACCGTTTGATCTTCGATATGAGCGCCAATGTTATATAAATGGAAATGAAAAAAATTTTCAAGCTCGCTGGTATTTTAACATAAATTCAGGACGTTGTCGTCTATTTTGGTATGGTGGTTGTCAATTAGCAGATGCTCAAAACTTTTTTCTAGACCAACAAGTAATTAAATGATAAATTTTTTAATTTTCATTTTCACCAATTTTTGAGCTGCGAGTCTTTTTGTGGCAATTATTTAAAGTTGGAAAGGCAAAAACAATTTTTAAATGGAAGAGAGGAAGGAATGAACGACTGGAATGATTTTTATCTACAAACGAATAGGATTTCAAGTTAGATTTTTAAAAATCTCAAAATTTTAAAAATTATTTTCAAGCTCAATCTTCCCAGAAGACATCAAAACATTGTTTAGAACCCTTTGATCACTCCCTAAGACGGCCCTGTGCAATAGGAATTTGGAAACAAAGATACTTTTTTGACTCAAATATTTTAAGATGTCGGCCATTTTGGATGGATGCAAGTTGTTTTAGGGAGGAAATAAAGAATGGAGTTGAAAATAATTATATGAAGGATTTAAATAATTATTTTAAGAGGCCCGGAAATTTATTTAATAATTTAATTGAATGCCAAAAAACTTGTGAAGAAAGGACAAAAGAAGTAATTTAATTTATTAGTACCATTTCCTTTAAAATAAAAATGAATAATGATAAGAAAATTTTTGATCAACGCTTTAAAATAACAAAAAAATGATATACAAAAATGCAATTTCTTAATTATCATAGTAGGAAAATTCAATATTTCTCTTAAATTAAAAATACCTCTTGTTAAAAATATTTCATTAATTTTTACCTAAGAACATAATTTCAGTATCCCCAACATCCTCACAGAATTAAACAAAATTTAAATCAACCAGATTATGTTGACAAAAAGAAAAAGGATAAACACGCAAAATTAAAATGGATAAAAGAAGATAAATGTTTAAAAGAAAATAATCACAAAATAAGAGAACATTTACAAGTTGAGAAAAAATTAAAAATAAATGAAGAAAAAATGAAGGCTTGTTTTGAAGTTTTTGATATAAATTTGACAAAAAATTGTGGAAGATTTCCTTGGAAAATTTCATTCTTTTTTGATCAGCATTACAATGTTTGTCGCCCTTTTTGGTATAATGGATGTGTTAGTAATTCTAATAATTATTTTGAAAATGAAAAAAGTTGTAAAGAAATTTGCGAGAAGGAAAGAGAAAATTTAACAATAAATAAAGGTAGGCTAAAAAAAGATTTTTTATGAATTTTGATAAAGAGAAAATCCTCTAAACATGAATGGTCCTAAATATTTTCTCGAATTTCTGGAAGGGGCAGCAATATCCTTTGTATCTGCAAACTATCAAAGTTGCCAATAGAATAAATCATGGGTAGTAGAGAAAATAAAGGTTTTAAGAAATCATCTAATTGGATTCATATATGATCAGTTTAACTAAATATATTTAAAGATAAATATGGCTATTTTGGCATTGGAGAGGAAACTACAAAAATATTAAATAAAACTAGTAAATACTTTCCAATATTAACTAAAACCGAAAAATATATTCGTTCAAAATCATTAATTATGAACGAGAATGAATGTACTCAATTTTATTATTATGTCAAAACAAAGGAAAAAATCGGAGGACTAAAAGTCTTTCTTTGCCTTTTGGAGGAAGGAGGGCAATGTCAAATGAATGTAGGCATTTTTTTATTTAAAATTTAAAATTGCCGCCTGTTAAATTTATGAATTTATGTGAGACCAATACTATCGAAATTGGAATAATTGGTCACTGGGTCGAATATTTAAAATTGAGTAAAATTGGCTAAGAAGAGGTATTATATAAGTGGCTTAATGAAAATCAATGACCACTTATTCCAAATATGGGGTCAATAAACATAAGAGGGAGAAGACTAGAAAAATTTTAAAAATATTTTTAAATAATTTTTCATACTCTGAGTAAATAAAATTTTAAAGATTTTACCACTCATTTTCACCAATAAAAATCAAAAATGTTTTACTGGCAGACCCTGGCTAAAAGGGAAACATTCGTATGTTTTTAAATTAATTAAAAAATTAATTTTATAATTTTCTTTAAAAGTTATGCTTGGTTCTTTGGATTGGATCAGAAATCAATCAAAAATAAAACAAAAATAAATATTTCTTTAATTTTAAAATTAAATAAAAATAATTCAACGAATATATTGCCAACAACAACAAATAATTATATTTTTATAGAAATTTTAAATATTAGTAATGAATGTAGTAATATTTGCTAAAATTTAGAATTTTATTGTAAAAAAATTTATTTATTTTAAAATAATTTTTAAAAAATTTTAAGAGAATAATTAATATATATTTTACTTATAATTTTATTTTAATCTAAAAATAGTGAGAAAATTGAGGTAAATAACAAAGAAATATTAAAAATAGTGAATAATTAATTTATGTAAATTTTGAAATAAAGCCCTCAACTTGAAGGATTTATTTACAAATTTTTTTAAATTCCTTCACCTTTTTTTATCAAAATTTACATCATTTCCCCTTCTTTTCATTTTAATAAAATTTAAATAGTAATAAATTTTGTTTTGGCAATTTTGTTTTTTGCATAAATAGTAAAAACGTTTTTTTCTAAAAAAAACTTTTTTTGGTTTCCTCCTTTTCCTAATTTTGTAAATATTTTTATTTTGATGTCATTTTTGGGTAAAAAGGTAATTTCTTTAAATTTTTAAATAAGTTTAAAAAAAGGTGAAGAAGAGAATCAAATTTTTAAAAATAACGCAAACTCTCATTAGTAGTAACAAAAATAAAAGGAAGAAAATGTTACTTAAATTGAGTTGGTTGTTAATTAAAAATGACTTTTTACAAGTAATCAACTCCCAAATTTTTTAAATTTATACCAAAAATTATTTTCGATTTTGGCTTCTTGATTTTAAATGGAAAATAAAAATTTTTAAATTATTAAAGCTTCTAAAAAATCTTTTCATGTGAGTACCTAACAAGATCACTTACATTTTCATCCTTTTTTCGACTATTTCAAAAAGTCTCTAATAATGAGAGTTTATTAATCACTATCTATTATCTAAATTATTTAATTTCTGATTATCATTATCAGAATCAACTGATAAAGAATTGTTTGTATATTTAGCATTTTGTTGTTCATTTACTGTTTTAGTATTACTGTCAATTGGAGGGGGAGCAATCATTGCCATACTATTTAATTGTGCAAGTACAATATTTAAAGGGCTTCTAAAAAATTAAAAAAAAATTTTTTTTAATAATTTAAAACCCCTCTTCTTACTTTATAGCCTTTTTTGTTGGCCTTTCTCTTTCACAAGTTAAAATTTGTTTAAATGCTTTTCGGAAGTCTCGTGAAAATCTTGAATAAATTAATGGATTTAACATTGAATTTAAATGGCCAGCCCAAGTAATTATAGAGAAGACAGCATCACGGTTTTCAAAGCACTAAAGATTAAAAATTTTTAAAGAGATTATTTTAAATTTTAGTTTATAAATAGGCAAGCAAAAATTTTGTAAAATTGGGGAAATGTTTTAAAAATGGGATTTTGAGCCAGAAAGACAGAACAACTCATCCATCACCTTCAAATTTGCTATAGTAAGAGTAACGAAATAAGGGAATGATCTTTTCACAAAGAGGGAATGAACATCTGGAAAGATTTTCGAAGGCCAAGAAGTCAGATTTTTCCCTTTTTCAGCGCCGCAGGCGAAAATTTTGGAAAAAACCTTCGTCGGAAATATGCTCTAAAAATGGTCGGAAATCGGAAATTTTTTCAAAATTTCGGAAATCGAAATTCCGACCCACCTCTGCTAAATAGGAAGTAAAGATATTTAAAGATATTCATTCCTTTCTTTGGTTGCGTGACTTTTGCGCCGGGAACATTTGCGCCGCGACTTATGCGCCGCGACTTTTGCGCCGCGACTTATGCGCCGAGCGACTTTTGCGCCGGGGGACTTTTGCGCCGCGACTTTTGCGCCGGGCGACGTTTGCGCCGCGACTTTTGCGCCGGACGACTTTTGCGCCGCCACTATCATTAATAATTATGAAAAACTACAGTCGGACCTCACTATAGAAGATGTAGGATAGTTGGAGATCTTCGGATATCAAGTCCCGTATCCGATATCCGACTTAAAATTTTCGGCTATCCGGCCTTTTTCAGATCCGGATATCTGGACCCGACAACCTTAAACTATAGTGCACCCTCTTCTGGCAGAAAATCATGCCTGAATAAGGGTAACAGACCAAATATCCTGATTTGAAAAAGTCAAGTTCTTTGAAGATAACCCCTCTAGGGGCGGTTTATTAGAGGGGGATATTGTACTTCCCGAAATATTGTACTTACTGAAATTCCTTCAGCTTCTGGATACCATTTTTAAAAAGTACACTATGTATAATTAAGTCCGACTTTAGATATTTTTTTAAAATTATGGCGGCGCAAATGTCGCGGCGCATAAGTCGCCCGGCGCAAAAGTCGCGGCGCAAAAGTCCCCCGGCGCAAAAGTCGCGGCGCAAAGATCGCGGCGCAATAGTCGCCCGGCGCATAAGTCGCGGCGCAAAAGTCGCGGCGCAAATGTTCTCGGCGCAAAAGTCGTGATACCCTTTCTTTTACCTTTTTATCTCCACATAAGGCAATAATTGGAGAAAATAAAAAGAAGGGTGTCCAACATAAAATAAATACTCCAACAACAATACTTAATGTTCTAGCTGCTCTTTGTTCATTTAATTGTTTAATCATTTGTCTACTTTTTTCTCTCATTCCAATTCTTTTTCTTTGATGATTTTGATTATTATTAGGTAGGGGACTACCATTTGATTTTTTAATTAATGGATTATGTAAAAGACGTTCAACATCCTGAAAAATATTTTAAAATAATTAATTTGCCTCCTAAAATCTTTGTATAATTATTGTTTATTGGGTAGGTGATAAATTATTAGAGAGGGAATAATTATCTGTGAGAGGGCAATTATCTCAGATTTCGATTATAGTGTAAATGAGTGTTGTCAAAATAAAATTTTGTTTAAATTTACAGACTACTGGAATTTCTAGTTTTCTTCTCATTATCTACATATGTAGGTATTTATGTTTGAAAATCACCTGTCCATTATGGCACAATTCTAACAAATGTTGTCGATGATCTGGACTCTTTAAAAATAAATAATATTCAATTTTAATGATTAAATTAAATATTTACCTCCCCACCACAATTAAACCAAGAAGCAATTGAAGATTTTGGAGTAGAAATAGACATTGAATAATTAGTTAATTGTGTTGGGCTTCTTTTCTTTTGTAAAGGAGTTGTTGGACATTCAGATTTGTTAAATGTTTTATTATCTGCAATTATTGAGAAGGAGGCAGTTCTTGAGTTTTTCAGCATTGGATTTGACCCTCTTTAAATGTTTTTTAATTTTAAATTATTTTTAAAGAGGTTAATGTATCTGAATAAAATAGAAGGCGCTCTCTTGTCTCAGGGAATTCTCGATATAAAAGATATATATCGATATCCTCTCTTTTTCGAATTATTCCCTCTCTCTTAATGCCTAAAAATTTAGACTTTGACGGTGTCAGAGGAATACTCTCCCCCCATATATATTTATTTAATTTCTCGTCCTATGGAGACGAATTTTATAAGATATTTCAAAAACACACCTGCAATAATTTGCATTTTGATTAGCAATATTAGCAGCATGTAACATTAAAGAATTACTCGAACATTTTCTATGCCCAATTCCGTATTGTGCCGCTTTTAATGAATTCATTCCATTTAAAATTAATTTACAACGTATTTCTGTTGTCGATTCACTGTCTCCCCCACAAAAACCATCCCCAACATCATCAGAAACAGCAACTAAAGGAAGTTTGTTTGTAGCAACTACAGTATTCCTTTTTTGCCCAAAATGGATTCTCATTGTATCTGAACATCCAGAATTGTTTCGTGGAGAATCTCCATCGCCTTCTGGACTTGATTTTACTGATTTTCCAGAATTTCGAGTCTTTTTACGTTTTAACAGGATCTAAAAAATTTTGGTAATTTTTGCTTTAAAATATTTTTATATTGAAAAATTTAAGGAAATCCCAAGTCTCCCCAAAATTTTTGATATTTTTTCTCCAAATACCCCAGATTTAAAGAGAATTCTTTGTGGAAATGTAGGATACGATCCAAAGAATGAGAAGGAATGGAGATGTGCCAAACTAATTTAATGACTCCTAAATTAAAAAATCTTTAACAATTCCCCACCCTTTTTTCTCCACTTTTCATAGACTTTGAATGTGTTGTAGCAATACAATAAACACGTCCATAAGCAAAAAGAATTAACACAAGAGGAATGTAGAAAGAAATTAGGGACGAAAATATAACATAATAGGCATCATCAGTAAAAAGGCATTTTTTCTAATTAAATAATTTAAAAAAAAATCTTTAAAAATAATTTTACTTGATCAGTATAGAGGTGAGGGGAGGAAGTTCTCCACCAATAAATAGCAGGAAATGAAATACCTTTAAAATATTTTAAAAATATTTTTGTTAAAAATGTTTAATTATTTACATGCAGAGACCATCCAAACAAACAAAATACAATAAACAATTCGACGTTTGGAAACACGGTCACGATAACCTTTATTGGAAAAATAATAAATAAATTATTGAATAATATTTTATTAAATTATGTTAATAAAACAGAAAACTGTGGTTATATCGGAATTCCGACCCACTTTTGCTAGGCTATTATGAAAATTGGATAATAAATTTTAATAATTTTAGAGGAATCATCAGAATTGATGATCAACATGAGCCCCTTAAATTGAGAGCCTTAAACTTCATCAAAAATAAAGTAAAAATTAAAAAGATTTACTATAATCTTATAAAATAAAAATAGAAAATTTTGTTTAGCAAAAAATGCATTGTTTCCTTTCTTTTGACTTGATAAATAATTATGGCACGATAGAAATTATTTAATTAATTAACCTATAGGGTCAATTCCAGCCATATATCTATCTAAACTTATTACACACAAATTCCATATTGAACTTGTAGAGGCTAATATATCTAATGCATGCCAAATATCACAAGTTGTTAGGCCTTTATATTAATTATAATTATAAATGTTTAGTCAAAAATATTTTTTTTATTTAATAAAATACATGATACTCAAATTAATGTCAAAATTATTTATTTAGGGATATTAATTAAAAAAACTTGAAATTACTTTGTTTAAGAAACAATTTATTCTCTTAAAATTATAAAACCTTAAAGTATAATATTT